ACCAGGCCCTGGCACGAAGCTTGCGTCTTCCTTTTTTTCCATCCTCCAGCGCTTCTCTGGTCCATTGCTGTAATCTGTTTGACCCTCACCAAGTTAACCTTGAGCCTGTGTTTAATTTGCTAGGACAAGGGAGGATGGAAACGAGGGTTTTCCAAAATCTCTGACATCATCTGTCTTGTAAGACCTCCCCATGAGCCAGAGTATCCAAAGGGTAGGGGGTGTGGGGTGAGTGAGATGTAAGTGGCAGGGGAGGGGGGACAGGAGTCCTCAGTCCCCTGCTCTCCTGCATTTCCCCACAGGACTATGACATCACCCAGCTCCACCGAGGTCTGGAGGCCAGGCCGGAGGTGGTTCTCCGCAATGACGTGGCACCAACCTTCATCCCCACACCCATGTACCGTCCTCGGCCAGCCAACCCAGATGAAATCGGCAACTTTATAATCGAGGTGAGACGTGGCAGGTCAGTCGAGGGGCCACCCTTTATTCAAGCCCAGCGCCAGCCACACAGGAGAACAAGCATGGGCCTGGAGTCTTGGGTCTGAGTTCAAATTCTGACTCCACCACCAACCAGCTTGTGACCTCTGGCTTATTTGAGTAACTTCTGGGGTTTGTTTCTTCCTCCATAGAACTCCCACTTGCAGAGTGGTTAAAAATGATTAGGAGGGGCTGGGCGCGATTGCTCACACCTGCAATCCCAGCACTTTGGGAGGCTGAGACGGGTAGATCATGAGGTCAGGAATTCAAGACCAGCCTGGCCAACATGGCGAAACCCCGCCCCTACTAAAAATACAAAAATTAGCCAGGCATGGTGACGGGTACCTGTAGTCCCAGCTACTTGGGAGGCTGAGGCACAAGAATCGCTTGAACCAAGGAGGCAGAGGTTGCAGTGAGCCAAGATGACGCCACTGCATTCCAGCCTGGGTGACAGGGCGAGACTCCGTCTCAACAACAAAAACAAAAAGTGATTAGGAGGCTGGGCGCAGTGGCTCACACCTGTAATCTCAGAACTTTCAGAGGCCAAGGTGGGCAGATCACTTGAGGTCAGGAGTTTGAGACTAGCCTGGCCAACATGGTGGAGGCAGAGGTTGCAGTGAGCCAAGATTGCGCCACTGCACTCCAGCCTGGGTACAACTTAGAGCTGTAGTGAACACCGGGACTGAAGTACTCAGACAGTTCTAGCTGAGCAGGGTGGGGAGCAGTTCCTTTGAGAGAGCGTCGCTCTAAGATGTGTCTGCCAGGTATTTATTGAGAGAGCTTGTTTAAACTACAATGTAGACAAATGAGACATCCACCAGGTGGCTCTTTGTGGTCAGGTCATGAGGCACATATGGCCTTGTAAAAAACACTCAAACAACATTTTTAGGAGGCTGTGTTCAGCACTTATCACACTTACTACTCCCTGTCCTGTTTTCAGGGCCCAGGAGATCTAGTCTCATGTACAAACAACATGCACACAGCACCTCAGTATATTTCCATGCCTCAACCCATAGGCTTGAATGTTTTGTTGTGTGCCCCCCACACCTGGGCAACAAAGGGAGACTCCATCTCAAACAAACAAAGGGTCGGGCCTGGTGGCTCATACCTGTAATCCCAGCACTTTGGGAGACTGAGGCGGGCAGATCACAAGGTCAAGAGATTGAGACTATCCTGGCCAACATGGTGAAACCCTGTCTCTACTAAAAATACAAAAATTAGCTGGGCGTGATGGCGCATGCCTGTAGTCCCAGCTACTCGGGAGGCTGAGGCAGGAGAATCGCTTGAACGGGAGGTGGAGGTTGAAGTGAGCCGAGATCGCGCCACTGCATCCAGCCTGGGCAACAAAGGGAGACTCCATCTAAAAAAAAAAAAAATTAGGAACGATTTATTCATTTATTCACATACAGCAGTTGAATACTCTGGAGCCAGACTACCTGGGTTTGAATTACAGATCCCAGGTGACTGCACTTAGAGCAAAGTTTGGAGCCTCTGCTGTAGAGGACTTCAAAGATCGAACGGGCAGGCAGCTAGGACAGTGCCAGCACCCTGGTTCCTGACCCTGCCTGCATATTGGAATCACGTGGGCACCTTCGGAAACCACTGATTCCTCAGCTCACCCCCAGAGATTGTGGTGTAATTGAACTGGGTGTGGCCTGGGCTTCAGAATTTATAAAAGATTCTCCAGGTAATTTAAGTTTGGCAACTACTGACCTAGCACACAGCGTTGATTAGGTAATCATAGCTATTGTTGCCAGGTGCTATTCTAATAACTGCTTTACAGGTATTTACTCATTTACTTACTCATCTGTTCCTGTGCGAAGGAGGCACATGTCCTCAAGACCTCCCAAGGCTGTGTCACAGGCGTGCATCGTTTAAAAAAGAAAAAAAGCCCATATGAAATTTTGTCATTTTACAGACAAGGAAACAGGCATAGAGCGGTTAAGGGACTTGTCCAAGGCCACAAAGCTAGTGTGTGGTGTGAGTTCTGGCCCAGGCTGTCTGATTTCAGTCCTTGCCCTTACCCCCGGCCTGTGTTGCACTGAGCACTTGTTGAGTGCTGGTCCCTGAGCAAATGAATTCTGCATGAATAACGCATTCTTTCATTTCAACCTCTGAAACTTTAGGGGAGGGGAGGGGGGCTCAAAGATGAGGAAATGGAGGCTTGCAGCTGACAAGTGGCAGGGCGCACCACTCTAACCACCTGTTCTCTGTTGCCGCAGAACCTGAAGGCAGCTAACACGGACCCCACAGCCCCGCCCTACGACTCCCTTTTGGTGTTCGACTATGAGGGCAGCGGCTCCGACGCCGCGTCCCTGAGCTCCCTCACCTCCTCCACCTCTGACCAGGACCAAGATTACGACTATCTGAACGAGTGGGGCAGCCGCTTCAAGAAGCTGGCAGACATGTACGGTGGCGGGGACGACGACTAGGCCGCCTGCCTGCAGGGCTGGGGACCAAATGTCAGGCCACAGAGCATCTCCAAGGGGTCTCAGTCCCCCCTTCAGCCAAGGACTTTGGAGCTTGTCAGGAAGCGGCCGTAGCAACTTGGAGGAGACAGGCTATGAGTCTGGCCTTAGAGTGGTTAGTTCCTTAGCCTTTGAGGATGGAGAAATGTGGGCAGTTTGACTTCAGCACTGAAAACCTCTCCACCTAGTCCAGGGCTGCCTCAGAGGCCAGGTTTCCAGAAGCCTCTCACCTGCCGTAAAATGCTCAGCCCTGTGGCCTGGGCCTGCTGTGACCGACCCCTGATGGCTTTGTCTCTGGAATGGACCCTTCTGAGGCCTCCTGGTGCAACCTTTTTTTTTTTTTTAATGCTATTTTCAAAACGTTAGAGACAGTTCTTCAAAAGGGCAGCCCAGAGCTGCCGGGCCCACTGGCCATCCTGCATTTCTGGTTTCCAGACCCTAAGGCCTCCCATTCAGATGGATCTCCGCGTTTTTATACTGAGTATGTCTAGATTGCCCCTTATTTTTTATTTTCCCCGTTGCGTTGCTGTAGAGGAAGGGTGAGGACAATCGTGTAGATGTACTAGAATTTTTTATTAAAGAACTTTTCCCAGAGGTGCCTGGGGAGTGAACTGTTTGTTCAACAGAAGCTTTATTGGCATCTAACTCACGTACCATACCATTCACTTGTTTAACGTGTACAATTCAATGGTTTTTAGAATTTTCAGAGTTCTGCAAAAAGAGTGTGCTCTTTCCCGGCTTCCTCCCAGCTTCCTCTTGATGGCAGGGGATACTCAGGGTCAGCTTCCATGCCTAGGTGGGCTCAGGGAGGGGAGACTTGCCCTCCTTTGCAAAGTCTCTTGCTCCGTGAGAGAGAACCATTAACCTCTTACCCCAAGGCTGAGCCCCCCCAGAGCCCCAGCAAGGTATCTTCTGGAACAGCGGCTGCCCTCCCTGCAGGGCAGTGCATGACGCCTTCCTCTTCTATGCTGGGGGCGGGGGTCGCTGTTGAAAGGCAGGGGTTTGAGAACAGCGAGCTCTGCTACTTGCTAGCACATCATTTAACCTCTAGTTGCCTCAGATTTTACATTTACAAAATGGGGAGTTTTTGTGGAGATTAAATGAATTAATACCTGACACATGGTCCATGCAATTTGTGAGTTGGTAACAGCTACCATTTATTCAGTATTTTTAAAGGCCAGACAGGACTTTGATTATTTCCTCTAAATCCTCATAATCACCCTCTGAGGGGACTTTCTCCTTTAAAGAATGGCCACATTGTATTTTTTTAAAATGACATCTGGTTATCAAAATCAAGCAAAACAGTTACAGAACCTACCCAAGATGTCAGCGAAATTGGAACATTCCTAACAACACCAGGGCATAAATGCAGGAATCGGGAATAGGCAGCAGCGATAGAACGATTCTGTTTGTGTCCTTGTTAACGTGAAGTTGAAAGTCATCTTTGCAGTTAGCAAAAAAAATCTGAAGCGAAGCTGAGGAAATTGCTGATGTTGAAATAAACATCTTCCATGAGGATGACTAAATCTGCAAAGCGCCTCTGCTCAAAGCACAGACCCTGACCCGAAGGTATCGGTGCCACCTGCTGAGTCGGAACCTCTAGGCAGGGCCCTGCTGTGGGTTGACAAGCCCCCCATGGGATGCTCATGCACACTCAGGTTTGCTGCCAAGGCTCTGAAGGATAAGGCTAAGAAGCCTGAAGCCTCAGACCCTGGATGGGGAAACCAAAGGAAATGAAGTTGGGGCTGGGCATCATGGATCACACCTGTAATCCCAACACTTTAGGAGGCTGAGGTGGGTGGATCACGAGGTCAGGGGTTTGAGACCAGTCTGGCCAACACAGTGAAACCCTGTCCTTGCTAAAAATATAAAAATTAGCTGGGTGTGGTGGCATGTGCCTATACTCCCAGCTACTCGGGAGACTGAGGCACAACAGTCGCTTGAATCCGGGAAGTGGTGGTTGCAGTGAGCCAAGATCACACCACTGCACTCCAGCCTGGGCGACAGAGTGAGACCCTATCTTAAAAGGGGATGAAGTCGGATGAGAAAGCTCACCTGTCCTTGGTCCACGGCGCCCTCAGGACAAAGCCACCTCCTGCCTCTCCCACTGAGCTGGGGCCTCAGATTCCCCTCTGCCAGGGCTGTCTGCTGATGGGGTGTGGGAAGATTGAGTGTCTGCTAGCAAACACCTGCTGCCCGTTATCTTCAACTCCCTTCAGAGAAGCCTGGATAAATCAGAAACTATCTTCAGTGGCGGCTAATCATGAAACCAAGCAGCCCCTGTTCAGGCTGGCCTTCCTCCCCTGAGATAGTTGGAGAAAAGCAGCCTTTCCCAGCCTCACCTGGCCTCGGTGGATGGCTGTAGAGTCCCCCGGCAATGGAATTGGGCACCAGCCCCCGAGTGCTTTGGAAAGAATCCGAGCCTGGGCTCTGTGATGGGAACAATATTAAGTCACTGTCTCGCTCTGGGCCTGCTTCTCATCTGCAAAACGGAAGCTTAGGACTCTGATGTTTAGGGCCTGTAATAAGTAAAAATATTGCATTGGTAAGACACCAGCGCTAACCATGCAGAGTGGACACTAACCAGAAACAACTGATGTACTGGCCATGATGAGGACCATCGGTCCTTTGAATTTTGAGTTTCAACACTTTGGTGTGCCTCCTTCCAGTATCCATATCCCCTATGCATTACACACTATTTTTTTTGGCTCACTGCAACCTCCGACTCCTGGGTTCAAGTGATTCTCCTGCCTCAGCCTCCTGAGTAGCTGGGATTACAGGCGCCCACCACCACACCTGGCTAATTTTTGTATTTCTAGTAGAGACGGGATTTCACCATGTTGATCAGACTGGCCTTGAACTCCTGACCTCGTGATCCACCCACCTCGGCCTCCCAAAGTGCTGCTGGAATTATAGGTGTGAGCCACCATGCCCGGCCTACACACACACTTTGCATTATACCTTTTCATAACACGGCATATTGACTTACTGTCCCCCTACACATCCAGTTTGGATATGTTATTTAATGCCACCACAATCCACAAATGATATTCTAATTTTTTGCCCTTAATGTCAACCTGCAGCATCCACTTGTGCAGATGCTTCAAAGCCAGTCCTCCATTCTACAGGGTGGGGCAGGAGATGGATTGTGGTCCCGGTTGAGATCAGGGCTTCCTTGAATGAGGGGTTCGCTCTTGGATGACTGACCCTTGAAAGCACCCCTGGCACTCATTCTATTAAGTGATCTTTTCCCCCAGACTTTTAAAAGGCAAAGTCCCAGAATCCAAGTCCAACAGAAAAGAAAAGTGGAGCTTTGGCCAGGTGTGGTGGCTCATGCTTGTAATCCCAGCACTTTGGGAGGCCAAGGCAGGCGGATCACCTGAGGTCAAGTGTTTGAGGCCCTCCTGGCCAACATGGTGAAACCCCATCTCTGCTAAAAATACAAAAATTAGCCGGGTGTGGTAGGGCATGCCTGTTCTCCCAGCTACTCGGGAGGCTGAGGCAGGAGAATCGCTTCAACCCAGGAAGCAGAGGTTTCAGTGAGCCGAGATCATGCCATTGCACTTTAGCCTGGGCAACAGAGCAAGACTCCATCTCAAAAAAAAAAAAAAAAAAAAGTGGAGCTTTCTTTATTGGAAGAAGGGGTCGGGGGTACCCAGAGAGCCTTCTCTCTAGCCTCATCCTCCAAGCTTGTATTCTTATGAACTCCCAAATCCAGAGCATTTTGAAAACTGCCCCAATCCATCCCTGACATTTTACAGATGGAAAAAGAGGCTCAAAAGAAGGCACTCCCTGGGCCCCTCTAGTGGGGACAGAAATGGGCCAGCACCCAGGCCTCACTTCATACCATGCCTTTTCCATGATGCCTTTTCACTGATCCAACAATCTCTTTTTTCCCCCAAAGGGACTACAGATAGGCCGTGTCCCCACAGTGTGCTTTTCCCAGTCCCTAGAGAGGCCTGAGGAGGGTGGCACGCTCTCATTCCTAGACTGTTGGTGAGGAGCTGAGGCTCTGAATTCCTGGCCCCCCATTTCTAGGCAGGGACCTCCGTCACTCACTTCCGGGCCTACAAAGGGACTTGGGGAAGACCCAGCCAGGGGACTGTTGGAGGGTGGCCACTTAGGAAAGGGCCCTGAGGTGATGGGCCTGCCATTGAAAGTGTGGGAGCGGTCACCCTGGGATCCCCTTTTACAGCCCACACCGTGTGTGTCCAGTTCCAGGCTCGCTGGGGAGCTCCAGGGACCAACTCCCTCCAGGCTAAAGGCAGAATCCACCTTCTGGCCTCCCATTAAAACAATCCAACCAGGAGAGCACAAGTTCAAATCCCGGCACTTCTAGGCATGAGGCCTTAGACGAACCACATAACCTCTCTGCCTCCGTTTTCTCATCTAAAATGGGGGAGTAGGCTGGGCATGGTGGCCCACACCTGTAATCCCAGCACTTTGGGAGGCCGAGGCAGGGGGATCACCTGAGGTCAGGAGTTTGAGACCAGCCTGGCCAATATGGCAAAACCATGTCTCTACTAAAAATACAAAAATTAGCTGAGCGTGGTGGTGCATGCCTGTAATTCCAGCTACTTGGGAGGCTGAGGCAGGAGAATCTCTTGAACCTGGGAGGCGGAGGTTGCAGTGAGCCGAGATCGTGCCACTGCACTCCAGCCTAGGCAAGATTGAGAGACTTCGTCTGAAATAATAATCATAAATAAGATGAAATGGGCAAGTAAGAGTTGATATCTGCAAGGGCTTAGAAGGGTGCCTGGCGCACAAGCTACTGCGTGTTGTCACTACTGCTGTGGTGGCGGAGGGACTCACAAGGCCTGCTAGCGCTGCCTGGGTGGAAACTGAACTTTCCAGCAGGAGGAAGTCCCGGAGATTCCCAGCCTGCAGGGAGTGCCAGTGTCAGGTGTGGTTTCCCTGAAGGCCCTTCCCCCCATGCCCAGCAGAGGGCACCATTCACCCAAACCACCACCAAGGCCCATAGAGCTCCCAGCCCAAGCGCCAGGTCTGCAGGGAGGGAGGGAGAGAGGGAGGAAACAGTGGCACTGGCTGCCACATGCCACACAGGGAGTCCGCTGGGTGGCAGGAACAGCCTTGGACACTGATGAAGACAGCAATGGTGGTGGCGGCGCTGGCATAAGCAGTCAATATGGAGTCAGTTACATGTTCTCCCGCCTCACAACCCTGGGGAGAGTTTCGATGGTTCCCCTTTTTTAAAGGAAATTGCAGCAAGTCGTGGTGGCTCACACCTGTAATCCCAGCATTTTGGAAGGCCAAGGTGGGAAAATCATTCGCGTCCAGGAGTTCCAGACCAGCCTGGGCAACACAGTGAGACCCCATCTCTATTTTAAAAAAGTTTTTAAATTCAGCTGAGTGTGGTGACACACACCTGTGGTCCCAGCTATTTGAGAGGCTGAGGAGGATCACTTGAGCCTAGGAGGTCAAGGCTGCAGTGAGCCATGATTGCACCACTGCACTCCAGCCTAAGTGACTGAACAAGACGCTGCCTCAAAAAAACAAAACAAAAAAAAATGAGAGAGAGGTTAATGGCCGCATCCAGTCAGCAAGCAGCAGAGACAGTTTTGAGGTCTAGATCTCCTTGATTGCCAAGTGGGCTCGTTTTACAATTAAGGATATAAACTCCAGCTGCAGATGGGGCTATGCGGGAGGTAGGCCGCAGAAGGTGCCCTTCAGGTAATGCTTATGGCCTCCTGAAAGGTGGAGTTGGCCTCACTGACCCTGAGACTCTGCAGCCCTGAAGCAGAAAAGCCACGGCGTTCCCAGCCACTTCTGGGGTCCCCTTGAGTATGTGGCATCATCTAAGGCTTTTTTATTCATTCGTTTAACAACTTCATTAAGCACATGTGCAAGATACGTGCTTAATGAAGTTGTTAAACGAATGAAATTTTTTTTTTTTTTTTTTGGAGACAGAGTCTTGCTCTATCCCCCAGGCTGGAAAGCAATGGCAGGATCTCAGCTCACTGCAACCTCCACCTCCTGGGTTCAAGTGATTCTCCTGCGTCAGCCTCCCGAGTAGCTGGGAGTACGGATGCATGTCACCATGCCTGGCTAACTTTTATATTTTTAGTAGAGATGGAATTTCACTATGTTGGCCAGGCTGGTCTCGAATTCCTGACCTCAGGTGATTCACCCGCCTCGGCCTCCCAAACTGCTGGGAATACAGGCGTGAGCCACCACGCCCGGCCCCAAGACACTCTTGTAGGTGCTAGGGTTATAGCAATGCAGAAAACAGTAAAAAAGCCCAGCACTCACATGGGGGCTACAGGTAAACACATGTGTAGGGCCCACATACCAAATGTGTCAAGATCAACGTCACAAACTCTTAAGATAGTCTTTCTACTTGGACAGGTGTATCTTCACAGTGATTGGGAAAGCCAGGTTTAAATCTGAATTCACAGACACCTAGAATACTGGGCTAGAGCGTGGCTCCGTGGGGAGGGCGAGTCCCAGCCCAGGAGCAGCGGCCAGTGCCCTGCTCCACCCAGCCCAAGCACCATCCAGCACCACCAGGTTCCTTGTGTGGCACCTCAACCCACATGTCCCAGCTCCCTCCACTGTCCCCCAACACAGCCTTCTGTTGACCACCCCATGGGCCTTGGAGTACACACCTGGGCTGTGCTGTCTGGGGACAGAACTGGGGAAGGCCTGAGGGACGAAGACGCTGGTTCTAGTAGTCACATTTCCTTTTTTTTTTTTTTTTTTTTTTTGAGACAGTCTCACTCTGTTGCCTAGGCTGGAGTGCAGTGGCGCAATCTTGACTCACAGCAATCTCCGCCTCCCAGGTTCAAGATATTCTCATGCGTCAGCCTCCCGAGTAGCTGGGACTACAGGTACACAACACCACACTCAGCTAATTTTTGTATTTTTTGGTAGAGACAGGATTTTGCCATGTTGACCAGGCTGGTCTCAAACTCTTGACCTCAAATGATCTGCCTGCCTCAGCCTCACAAAGCTCTGGGATTATAGGCATGAGCCACTGTGCCCGGCCAGTAGTCACATTTCCTTAGCTCTATGAGGAGGGGCAGAAGGGCAGGATAGAGGCCCTTCCTGCCCAGTCTAAAGGAGTTTTCAATTAGAAACAGACCACAAACAAGATAAATCAGTAAGACACGTGGTCTAGTAAAAGGTGAAGCATGGAGGAAAATGGAGCTGGGATGGGGCCTAGGGAGGAAGGGCCTGGAGGTAAGGCTCAATTCTAGGAGCCAGGGAAGTCACTGCTGGGAAGGTGGCATTTGGGCAAAGACTGGAGGCTATCAGGGAGCAAGTATGCAGTGTCCTGAGTGTCCTCTCTACATGGAAGGAATGGCCAGGGCTAAGGCCTGCGGACAGCAGGGTTCAGCAGTGAGGCCAGCGTGGCTGGAGCAGAGGGATGGGTTGAGAGTGTGCGCGGAGATGAGGTTGGACAGGTAAGGAGTGAGGGGCCCAGTCCTGGGTGTCCTTCTCCACGCCTGGGCTGGAGGCTGAGTTCAGGGCAAGGCCCAGTCCCAGGAGCCCTGGGAAA